GGCACATAACAATAACAACAAACGATGAAAGTTTACAGAGACTGAGAATTTCCACTCATTCATTGTTGCACTTTTCTCTCTGTCCACCCCTCCTTCACCCCAATTCATTCTTCTCTTTGAAAAGTAAAATAAACTTTTTCTTTCATTGTTTTACAATCCCTCCCCCAAGTCCACTCCACTACATTCTACTATGTAGCCTTCGTTCTGGACTATTGTCATAACAATAATACCTAATCATATATCCCTTTTAAACAGTTCTCTCCCTCATCTGTTTCAATACAATTTACATTATTTATCCCATCTTTCTCAGTCACCCCCAACCCCAATGTCAGTCCTGTTTTACCACAGTGGTATTATGCAGTATTTGTCCTTTTGTGACTGAGTTAACTCTCTCAGCATAATGTCCTCCAGGGTCACCCATTTTGAATAATATTGCGTAAGTTCCTTGTTTTTTAATGCAGCGTAGTATTCCATTGTGTGACTATACCACAGCTTCTCTATCCATTCGTTTGTTGATGGGCACTTGGCTTGTTTCCAACTCCTTGGTATTGTGACAAAGCCACGATAAATATGGGTGTGCACTGAAGTACTATTTACCAAGGATGGTTATTTCTGAAAGTAGTTATAATTAATAGATGATGCAGTGAAAGCAAAACACGTTATTCAGCTACAAAATAACAGGTTCATGTTGATGGATTTTGGTCTTCTTTATAATTATCTAGTACGGCCCTTCTTTTAACTCTTCTTGCTAAAGTGCTCCCAAGATTCTCTCATATTTTGCAAACGAGTTTTACAAAAGAGCTTAAAAAATTAATCCCTTTGTCCAGTCACATTCTTTTTTTAAAATTGTCCCGATAGTAAACCAGAACTTAAATTACAACGACAATGTTTAACAAGCAATGAAAGAAATGAAGCCAATCTATAGTAAACATACAGAAGAGAAGCCGTTTTGAGTACTGCTTTACCCCATAGCTTCCTGTTGTTGTGTATGGTTGAATGAAGCCAACCCATAGCTCACCCTCCAGTGGGTTTTCAGAGACAGGAAATTGCTCTGGAGGGGATTTCTCATACTTTTTCGGACAGAGCAGCTGGTGGATTTGAACTGTGTGCCTTCGGGTTGAAGTTATTTGGCAGTACAGGTCGTTAGCACTAGACAAGCAGAGCTCCCTGTGTTTAATGCAGCTTAGCTTCTGCCCAGCAGCTTAGCTTCCTCTCTACCCTCTAATGCCCATCCTTAAACTCCACTCCCTAATGCCCATCTTTAACCAATCCTGTTCTCTACTTAATGGACTAAAAAGCAAATTGAGTTTCTGGCCTTTCGTCTGTAACATGAGGTATCTACTCCTCTTTGCAATGAATAATCCTTTCAGAATAAAATTATCCTTGGATGTTTTAGCCTGCTCTGGTCAAATGATCTTTGATCAAACTAACATCAGCAAACAAAGTATAAAAGCTACAACATAAGTCACAAATTTACTTGACTCTTTGTCCAAAAGAGGAAAAACAGACTGGTACCAATAGACACATTCAGTTTTTGTTTAGTGTTGCAGCATCCCCAGAGTTCCTTTGCAAGCATTCAGTTTGTAAAGAATTTAAGATTGGTTTGCACTCTTTAATAAAGATATTGCATTTTTATATTTACCTAGTTTTATGCATAAAACTAGAAGTGACAATTCACCGAGGAACAAAATTGAGGGAATGACTACAGGAAGCTTCCACATACATCATAGTGTACCTTCTGCATAAAATTGGACATTTTCACACTGTCCAATGACAGCATATATATACTGGGTATTAGAATGAATATTCCTGAGAGGGAGAAAGGACTACGAAAACCATTGAAAAGAACATGAATTATGAAAATTTTGGTGAACTGTCTGAAATGTAGATGAATCCAACACATTTTCCAAATACCTTGCTTGTATGACTTTGACGCATCTGAGGTTTCACTGTGTATAGAACAAACTTAGCCCATAAGATATTGTGAGATCAGTGTTGGAAGAGCTCAAGTGAGACAGAAGTTCTAGATGAATATTAAGATGACATTTTTTTAACATCTGAAAGCAGCCAAGTAGATTGCAAAGCAGTCAGCCAGAGAGACGCTAACAACCCCATCACTTAGGCCAGAAACGCAATAAAGGATTCCTGTTGGGAGCAAGCCTGTATTGGCTGAAAATTAGGTAGATAGCCTGTGGAGGATTTTCCTTTTCTCTAGCATTCTGACAAATGTCTTTTTAATGAAGTTTCTAACTCTCCCGTTAGTTTGTGGGAGGATGCATAAACAAGCCTACAAGCACATCCATTTATTATTTAGACATAAAGCACTATGGGTACAAAACCCTTTAGATTTAGAGAGGCTATTGATTACATTGCAAATTTCAATAGGTAGGAGAAAATCAGATGCCGTCCAGGTCAGAGCACCAGCAAAGATAAAGGACATCCTGAAATGTGTCCTAACTAAGGCAGGGAAGATTAAAACTCAGGCTTTCTACCCACAGAATCAAGTGTATTGACTACGGTTAACTTTTTGTTTGTTATAATTAGATTGATACCACAAAAGAAAATCAAGCAACCCTTAACCAACCCAACACAAAATGACTTAAAAGAAACTTGATATCATCAGTGAGCGAGATTGAATTTATGGTAATTTAACTTTCTTGTACTGTTGCCACAGGGATGCTTCAAAATCCATTTACTAGGGTTTTGGATCTCTTCATCTACAGACATAGGAATCAGATTTTCATTTTACATGCTCTTAACTTTCCATTCTCTGAAATATCTCTCCTAAATTCCAATAAGATTTTTTACTGGATAACATTATTATTTTTGTTAGATGTTTTAGTTGTTGTGTACTTTCGAGTCTGAAATGACCCACAGCTGACACTCTAGTTGTTTTTCAAAGAGAGTTAATAGCATTAGAGGAAACTGCCTATCTTTTTCCTGGGGAGAAGTTGGTGGATTTGAATTGCATGTCATGGGCTTGGAGCACAACCGCTTACCACTGAGCCACCAAGAACGCTACCCTAGAGGTAAGTTGTAGAGTCGGCTGTAACTCATAGACCAACACCAAGAAGCCCTCCCTGATCCTGAACCATCCTCACAATCTCTGCCGTATTGAAACCCATCCTTGCAGTCACTGCCTCTACCCATCTCATCAAAGGTCTTCCTTTCTTTTGCTGATCTTCTAATTTTCCAAGCAAGA